AATAAATAAACTTAGAAAGATGTTTGAAGGAAAATTGACTTTGTTCGTAAACTAGATGAGCTAAGTAAGAAACTATTTAGTAAAAATAAACGTTTTTTTGTTGAGAATAAAACACAGTGACAATATACGATGTGGTGTGTGCTATTTAAAAAAAAAACGGAATTTTTGGGCTTGAAAATCCTTTACTTTGGACGATTATTATGACCGCCCTGTAATTTCAAAAATACTTATTTTGTAAACCAAATATTAATGTAGTTTTAGTCTTCTTTACAGCCAAATTTCAAAATGCTTTGTCTAAAGACGACGGAGAATCTCGGTTTATCGATACCAAAAAAATGCGAAAGTTGATCGTTGAAACCGAATAGCTAAAAGACTAAACAATTTTTGTTCATATTTTTTATAACGAAAAGTAATTGCAATTTAAACAAGAATTAAAAATCAATTAAAATATTCTGTGTTCCATTAGAAAAAACGTTGTTTTTTGCCCCACAACTTTTCTGACTCATATTCTGCATAATTGTGAATATTTTCAAAATATGTGCGTCCATTACTTTAACAATATGACGATGTAAATTCTGAGAAAAAATAATACCGGTTAAGCGTAATACAAACTAAGATTGAGTATTAACAAATTAAAAAATGATGAGTGTTGAATCTGAGCGAAATAAAATTTTTCCATAGTAATATTAAACTGAAAAAATTCATACAATTGATCACTAGTAAAAGACATTATTACAGATAGTAAATACATGTAAATCAAATTTAAAAAAAATAAAAGCAAACTAACACACTTCTTTATGAAAGATTATGAAAAACTTTGTGAGGTAAAAGACATAATTTCACAACCGACTTTGCGAAGCGATTCGCTGGCTGATTATAGTCATAAAGCGAAATTATGTTGAATAAGAAGGGTCAATAAACGTAACCTTCCACCCATGCATCCGGTACCCACCTGCCTTAATTAACTAAGTGCCGAGGAATTTAAAGTTATGGAAATGAATTGGGCATTTGCAGACAACTTCCAGTATTGTACCCTACCACTGGTTCGAATTAGCACAAAAACCTATTCTGTTCGCATGAGTTAAGGTTCTCCCAAAGTGGAAATTGCGATTAATCAACTGAGTAATTTAGCAGCTTTCCATATTTCTAGATTAGGCAAATACGACCCAGATTATTATGGGTAGAGCACAATTATTATGATTGCGCAATGGAACGTTCACGACTAGCCGAAAATCTAGATCAGCCTTTGTAAGTGATTTTAGACATTAGGAAACAAATTAGCGATTGTAAAGGAAAAAGTGCCGCACTCCCATTGTTTCTCAAATTGCGTGTAAAATTGTGGAGCTGAAACAATGGAGTGTAAAACTCCGAACAAACGAATTGTGCATGGGATTAAATTGTTCACATAAAAGCTTGGCTGAAATAATCAGCTTACCTGTCCCCTTTTGTCAGTCCGGTTTCTTCCAGCGCCCAATCTATCCACAATCCTGGAATATTGTCGCGTTGTCCAGCGACAAATTTCGGGCTTTTTTGATCGTAGTCTAATGTAATTGCCCGCAGTATTACCATATCTGAGCCATCCATACAGCTGGAAAATTTCCGATGCAAACAAATTACTTCAAAAATCTGTCTTTACCTAAACAAAGTGTTGTTTTCGGCGCAAGATCGATTGGACTCTTCTATGCACAGCTGAAGGGTCCGTGTCTCTTCTAGAAGCGTTAGAAGGTTGAGTTCTTCCCTCCCCAATTGATATTCCAGTTCAGCTTGCTGAATGCGAACGTCTATATTGCTGGAAAGGCCGGTCAAGAATAATCAAATTTGCAAACCATCTGGAACCTACTCTGTGATATCCAGCCGCTCCAAAGCCATTTTCAGGTTCTTAATGGCCAGGCGTTTGTTTTCAATGTCAGTCTTTAGTCTTCCCAGTCTATCTTCCGCTTGCTTCTTCTCTACCTCGGTTAATTCCCTATTGCTTGTACTATTATTCACATTATTATTGTTGTTATTACCTGCAATTTCCATTCGTTAAAACAACGCAATTACTACTTCTAATTAGCTCCCACCATTAAATATCGAATTCAACCTTAACCCAGGCACCGTTAGTTGGCCCCTAAGGCTTTGAATGATATTCTCCTTATCTTTAAGGGCATTTCGAAGATTTTCCAGCTCTTTAGCTGCCAGCTCTTTCGGGATGGATCGTATAGAGGAATTTAGTATCCCCGTATTGAACTTTTTGCGTCTTGGCGTGTTGGATAGAGATACTTCAATGCTGGCCATCTGTAACGAAAGCACCGGTAAAAAGATTTGTTGGTGCAGACTGCACCGACCATTGAAATGCCCATCTTCATGATCTAAAGCGTTACACACGATGGCTTTTTTCTACCGTCTGAAAGATAGACTCGAACAAGCCACCCACTCTGTAACCAGTTAATGGAACAATAAAGTTGGAACCCCTGCTGGAAGAGGTCGAGCTCTGATCTTTGTTTTTGTTCATATAAATGCAGTATTTGCCATTTCAGTTTGCTCATATCGGATTTACTGCTGGCAGCAAACGAATAGGGGTGTTCAGAAAACCAATTGCTCTTAAGCTTGAAGGCTGTGTAGTAGAAATACGCTCAAGGCAAAGCTGTGAACTGTGCGTTTTTAACTCATTAACATTGAGCTGAAGCCCATCTACTATTTCAAGCTCACCAATACCCTGATGGAATTTTTTCGTGAACATAATCCTGCGTGTAATCAATACCACCTATGATTAGGGACATTAAAACTTACATTACATCAGGCCTGTGGTTGCAAAGCAACATAATATGCATATCCTGATATTATCTAAACATGAAAATTGCTGGCTAGTTAGATGGGAATTTAGGTACCTAATACCTGGTAACGATTCCATAAATGATTGATTAATCTCAAGTTACATCATGTTTCGTGGTCGCAAATCTACATTTTCAGCATCGATGAAATGAGGTGTATTGATATAAGCAGAAGATAATGAATGAAAAGGGTTGTTATCGAAACAGTGCATTTTCAATCAATTGCAACAGGAAAAAAAGTCCCTCTCCATATTATCCTAAAGTTATTGGCTATTAAAATAGCAGTTTGGATGTCGCTTCCTAGCAAGGAGTGGACACCACTAATTTATCCAACTAGTTCCTGAGCAAGTTCTGCTCATTCAGGTGTAAATTGTTGTGTATCAGAATGCTTTACGATGTACGGAGTGGCTGCTTTATTTGTCGAATAAATTCAACTAATGAGTGGATGTTTAATTCAATTGAGTTATTAGAATTATTCATTAGGTGAATATAAGGTCTGTTTGGTTTTTTTCTATTAGCTTGACGTTTTCCTCGTTGCCTTTATCAGTTATCTCTATTCACTTTCAGTTAATGTACAAATATTTTGGGTCAATGCCCTTACTTAACATAAAATAACAAAAACTCCCTTTGAACAGGCTCAATTTACCACTGAATACATTCTAATCAAAAACGGGTTTCGAGTGTTTAAATCGTATGCACCCTTTTTCACACCCCTGACGAAAGAGTACAATTTAATAATGGGATGAAGCGAAAAGTTCCTTTTGAACACAACTCCAATTTAATTTGCCTTTTATGTCTGAAAAGGGCGAAAAGTCTTAGGTAGATTGAAAACCCCCCCAAGAGCCTGTTCAGAGAGAATAGCCGGTTTTTTGGCAACTTTTTCTGGGGTTTCAGTCCTTAATGCAATAAAAGCCCTAATTGAATTGTTTGAGTTTAAAAAATGCTTTATTGTAAGACACGCACTGCAGTCGGTGTCGTCATTCTGCATATGAAAAGAACAGTAAAATTCATATTATAATGAAAATGAATAGCTATTGTGTGTAAAATGGCACGAAGTGAAGATGTTTCAATAATTAGGAAATAAATCTTGGTCATTAATGTTGCGATTTATAGTTTAGAGCGATGGAATGCACTTAGAATGATTGATTTTATTATTGCAATAGTATTTCCATTCTAAATGATGATAATGTGGATTCTGAAACCGCATTCGAAGAAAAACTTTTCCTTAGAAACGTTTTTTTAAATAATTGCTTTTCCTATAGGGTCAAAGTATATGGCTATTTTTATGCAATTTCTAATCTTTACGTGTGCTGGTCAGTTATACATTTAATGTTGCACTGTCTGTATACTTTAAGCATCTTTATGTTATTAATTAATCTTATTCGGGACTGTCTGGCTGTTTTTAGTTTATTCGTTTTTTACTCTGATAATTGACTTTTCATAGCCAGAAAAAAAATCACATTTAAATCTACGATTTCCTCATAATGTTGTAATGCTTTATTACATCATTATTTAATCATTAGTGTTTTCATGTTAAAACTGAAAATTTTTATTAGTGTTTATCTTGTGCTTTTCTTTATCATTTACATTAAACTTAATTACACCGGTGTTTATTTAGCATATTTTGAAATAAATTTCCACGTTTTAAGTGTTTCTGTCGATTGAAAAGTTTGAGATTTCGTTATAATTTCGACTGCTTTTAAAGCTTCTCAATTGTAGTTTATTTTGCATGAAGCTTCATATTTAAATGTCGAATAATTTTCATCTCACACACAAAAGCACTTCCTCTCAGGTAAATTTAAGTTTATTACATACTTTCTACTAATTTCTTTAAACTTTCTATACAAAATCAAACAGTATAGTCACATATTTGATTATAAGCCGCTTAATTACCTTTAAACTGTATTTTATTATTAGTATCTTGATTTTCTCAAATTAATTTTATTCACGATCTTTCAGTTTTTCACTTGCACATTTTTTTCTTCGTACTAATTAACTTTACTTAGGCTATTTTTAAGGGTTTAGACACATTTTTTGTATATTGAAATGCTTCCAGTTTTAGTATTTTCAGTTATAGTTGCCTGATCATACAATTCATCTCTTGCTCTATCGATTTAATCCATTAATTCTAAATTTCATTAATTTTTTTTTCAAAAATATTCGTTTTTAGACGCAATTTCTGCTGCAAATTTTAGTTTTTTTGAGCCAGCAAATTAACGTTTGTAGATGCTGTCCGTTCCTATGTCCAATATTTCTTTTCTGTCATTGTATAAAAAACTGTATGCAAATTTATAAAAACAGTTCTTATTTAAAATATGTTTCTTATATTCTTATTTAAATCTGCAAATTCAAAACAGTAATTGAGAGTCTGTAGAGTTTGCTTGTTTCATTGCCTCTTCATTTTCGATATTTTCTTTTGTGTCACCCCTGTTTGAATAATACATGTTTAAATTGCCAAGAAAACCTGCTGAAATTTTAAACTAAATATGGATTTAAAATCACCAATGTTAATTGTCTACCTCAATCTACAGATTCGAGGGAAATTATAGAGAAAATTCTCCTGAATTCTTCAGTCGAAGTTGTTACATTATTGAAGTTCGTAAACATTTTTGCTTCAGTAAACTTTAGGCCAAAATGCGTTGGTTTCAAGAGCTTTGGTGATTGCATAAAAAAATAATTTGCGAAAAGCAACACAACAAGGAAATTATTAGTTGACAATGAAGAGCCCACAATGCTTTGCTTGACGTCTTGAAATAAATTTCATCAAACACCTGCATTTATAAAGTGTCTTCATCAGACGTGGGTGCTATTTGGAGAAATTGTGAATATTAAAACAGCAAATGTTGCACTTCAATCAACACTCTCAATTCAGCTTTAAACAACCGAAACCAATGAATGTTTTACCTTTGCTTCCAAGGTTTCCAGTTGAGCCATCCTCGGTTGAATAACCGTCGGTTGCAAAGTAGTCTGAAACAAGAAGAGAAAAAAATCAACGGCCATTCAACAGGTGATTGATAATTCCTCGATAAATCACTCGTTTATACACACATTTCAATGGCTATTAACTCATTCTGTCCTGTAAACACCTGTCATCATTGGTGGTAGTTTGTTAAACCTCTAGTTGCATGACTGAAACTATATTGTCACTAATGGACTTTCACTGCTAAATTTACATTTTACTCTGTTAGGAAGCATTATAAAAATTATTTTCCATTTGATTGATTTGAGTAATTTCAAGAGAAAACTCTGGCTATTGATGATTCTGAGCATTTAGGTAGCACTCAAAGAGATGTTTTAAAAATCCATTTACTAGCTTCGTAAAATTATACCTGATAAGCAGTTAATTATTTTCAGTTCAAGCCAAATCTGTTTGCGCTCACTTTTCGTGTACCCTCTAAGTAAAAATTACGGCCTTCTAAACAAAGCGGAATTGTTTGAACTTCCGGCACGAATTTATTGTTCAACCGCTTGGCAATTAAAGGGCCCTGTTCTCATACTTAGCAGTGTTAATAGCAAAAGTGCACTTGAATCAGTGTTTTTGAAAAACATCATTGAACTTAATAAATTCGCAATTAGATATATATTTAAATTTAAATTTATAATATTTAAAACAAAATGCCAAGTATATTATCAGTGCAAGTAAATGGAAAACTGCACGCCGCCAAAGACGTCGATGTACCAGTAACTGATTCGTAACGTAATTGCATCTACCGTAACAATTCAGCAAGAGCATATTATTAAGCCGCCGAGTTTCCTGACATCTTAATAGCTTCAATTAAAAATCGTAAAACGTTATTCGCCAAACAAATCTATGTGCGTAATTTTTCATTGTTTGTGGGAAGCTTTGATGTGATTTTTTCCATTGGCGGTGAAACAATCAATGCCTGATTATTTCCTGGCGATTTATTGGCTAAAACAAAATGGGTAGAAACTAAAAGTTTTACAAGCCGAAGAATATAAACGTTAATTAACGTGGTTTCATGTTCTTCAGTTTCAGTCTTCACTGTCTGAACTCGTAGAAAATATAAAATTAAATAAGATTTGGATACTGTCCAATCCAACGCACAGTTGGTGAAAAACGTACGGAAATTCAAATTAAACTAAACACAAATTAGATTACGGTAATTCAACGCTGGCAATTTTTCGCTTTAGACGAACTGTTTTTTGCAACTGGAATGGCCAGTATAAATAAGCTCAGAACGTGAAAACGGGAAAATTTAATTACCAGGAACATTTGTAAGTTCCAAGTTGCAAAATGGACATATCCGGTATTATATCGAGAATGTGAACACCGTTTGGGAAAAAACGCTGACAGTGATAAATGTAGAATATTCAGTTAGATACAAATTTACTTGTTTTTGTCGTTATATATTCTACGTTTTTCACCACTTAAGTAATATTGGAAGATGGAAGTGAACCTAAATTTATTGCTGATTTTACTTTAAAATGTGTTTATTTCGCCCATTCGGAACTAAAATTTGATTATGTAAAGGACATAATATTTATTGAAAAAGTCTGTATCCAACTTTGCTCAGAAAATCTCTATCTGCTGAATAATTATTCACTTCGAATAAGCAAAACCATTAATCATCGGTACCTACTTACGCTCCTCAAACTACTAAGTTCGCCTGCTGTATCTCATACTTATCAATTTGTAATTATTCATTGATATAAGTCTCTTGGAGACCAACAGTGTAATTTCGAAATTCCAGCAACACTATAATCTTCCTAATTAATTGTAGGCTGTAAGAGCGCTCGGATTTTTGGCGTGAGGTTAGAGAAAATCGCCACTACAGAGGCCTTCTGACGATAAACCAACACACAAATTGTATAATAAAAAAACATTGTTAACCAACCAAAGTCTAAGCTCTCAAATTATCTGCTATATAATTACGAGGAAGACGCAATTTGAATCCATTCCGTCACCTGAAAAAAATTTCCCTGATGGATTTACGTAACATTTAAAGAGCCTGATGGACGTATAACAAACTCGTTCCGTTCACTCTTGGTACTGTCATGAACCTGTCTTCATAAATATTGCCAGGCCTTATTGGGTTCAAATGTGTTTGCGAATTTCAGCCGCAAAGTCAAGCAAAAAAAACTTCTTGTGCTTTGAACCACCAACTGGTTTTGATTTAAATATATTTCGTTTTCAATCCCGGAGTATGGCTCGTTAGTACAGTTGCTGAGGTCGAAACTACCATAATGGGGTACTTAACAGTTACTTAATAAATATTCCTGCAAATGTTCAGATTCAACAGACTTTACGTGTTATGTTAAAAACTTTTCATTAGTCTCATAATAAGTAAATCTGCCATGTTCTCCGTCAACCACAGTAAATTGCCTTTGCGTCTAAGGAATTAATAGTAAATAATGAGTACCATTTGATATTGACGAAAATTGCTCAAAGAGATTTGTTAGTGTGCCTTATTGGTAAGTTTTTAAAGAATTGACAGTGTTAATTGTATTAGAAAACTATTTCAGAAAATGTAAGAAAATGAGATAGAAAAGGAAAATCTGAGGAAAATTTTAGGAACATGCAAAAGCAGAGCAGGTGTTTTCCAATTAGTCTGAACAGTACCCTTTTCCCAGTTCTTCGAAAATTCACTCACTAATACATTAAATCCTGTTGAGCAAGAAAAGAAAAATTCTGAAGCTGTGCCAACGATTTAAAAAAATATCAGGATTGTTACACCTAAACTTAAAATTTTCGATAAAATTAATTTGGAAATAGGATTTTCAAAGGACTATTTTGAGAACAGAGCATGCAGATAAAATACTTTGAGCAAATTTGTCAAAAATGAAGATACAAATTTCTTTTGCCGAAAGTGTGCTCCATTAATCCTGATGATAAATAGCGAAATTTGCAATTTTCCAACAAATCATTGCTTAAAAATGCCGGCAGATAATTTCCGAGAGTTATTCAGCAATTGCTACAAAAATTGCGCAAAGTATAGCCAAAGCAAATGAAGGTACTATGCAAATTTTTGCTGCTTGAAAAATAACACTATGAGATGTATTTTTTCGGTGACTTTTCAAAGTTAACCTTTTGAACAGCAAACATTTTCTATAAAAATAATTAGTTTAAAAATTGCACAAAAATTACCAAAAAATAGTTTAGTAAAAAAAGTATAGTTTTCGGAAAATACAAGCTAATATTTTTATCAACCGTTGTGAACAGCAATTTAATTTTCAAAAGTTTAGATATAAAATATATATAAAAAGCAATTGAGAATGTTAATACAAATGTTTACAGAAGAGTTCACATACAAATTTCACAGCATATATGATAAAAAGACCATCGCTTTGTAATTATTGTTGAAATCAAAACGACAATGTCTCTACACATTGCAGAAAAAGCATCAGTTTATCAAAATTTATCCGTTTGTGGGAAACTTTTTTAATCCCAAATTATTCTCAAAATATCCATGCCAAGGCATTTTCGATGAAAATAGGAAAATAGAACAAACACATCGATGGCATAGACTTTAGCACCCTTCAATTATAAGTCAATTTGGGCAAAAAATAAACTCAGTTTTAACCAATTAAAAACAATTAAAGCGTCTAACAAAATGAGAAAATAAGCTCTCATTAACAAAACAAACACTAATTCGTTCTCTTCTGTTATGATATCGAATGCTCGGCCTTTCGCATTCACACATTCCCAATAACTGCGACTTTTTATCATGGTTTTATCAAAAGCTTCTTAGCTTAAGAGAAACGATACAGTAAAAAATCATGCAATTCCAGAAAACACTGATCATAAATAAAATAAAGCGATCCCATAATAGCTTTACGAATAGCAGCCATACACTCACACCTAATTTAAAAGTTCAGTATTCTCAAATTACCCCTCTTCTCATGATAAAGCTAAAACGTTCTGTATCTAAACCGGCTCATCAAAGAACTGTAGAGCTCATTAAGGTATGAGATTTTTTATCGCTCTCGACTATTATAATTTTTACGCAGCTTCACAATTGCTGCAAGTCATACCTGCTAAACACAGAGTTCAGGAATCAATTCTGCATTTACTTTGCAATCAAATTAGAATTTTTAATGAACTTTTTTTATTTGATCAATCTAGATGTTTGTTGTAGATTGGGTTCAGTGAGTCTTTTTCAGTTAAGGCCTAGGTGCACACTTACTAGAGAAACGCTTCGTTTTTCTAAGCCAGGACTTGCGTTTCCCAATGGAGACTCAGTTTCAACTTCAGGTGGACAGTCTGAGTGAACAGAAGCTCTTTGGCGCCTACTTGCTTGACTTCGAGATCGTGTAGGACTTCTTGGAGGAACTGGCGTAGTCATTACGTCATTGTTAAGTAGTTCATTGCACTTCTACGGAATTCCTTCTGGAACAAAAAAATAAAATTATTTCGGGACTTTGGAACCAAATCAAACATCAGACTTCAGTATGCAAAACACAGATTCTCAAGCAAATAAATATGCTTTGCTTATAATAAGTTGCATCTTGGGATTGAATGCAAAAAACCGCCTTCCATACCGTATAAGAGCAGCGTGAGCTGGAGTTTACTGTGGTGCTAGAAGGTAATTTTCGCGGAATTTTCATTTTGAGCAATTCCGATGTATAATAATTCTAAATGTAATAATTTTCGTTTCTGCTTGAAGCGATTGACAGAGAAAATAGTTTGCGCTCAATTTTGGAAAACTTGGCTTTGATCCGAATATTTTTTAAATGTTTGTTTTACTAAAACTACTTTTCTTGAACCGCTGACTTATGAGCAACCGTTAACAGCAAAGTTAAGCAAAGAACAAACATATTCCAAATTGGTGTTAGTTCTGATTCGCCATGATTTGCTTAATTTTATAGATCGGTTTTGTGTAATTTTTAGAAGATTTTGTAAAATAATATCCGCAATTTGTAATTTGCTTTAAGACCAATTTTGCAACAATCCGTCAATAAAGAACTTGTTCTAAATCGTGATTGTCAAAAAATAAGTGTTCTATGTTGTCTTGCAAGCGTCTGATCATCTTGCGTAATTTTGGGTCCTTTTGCAAATAATTTTTACAATACATTTTTTTTCTGCATATAATTTTAACAAAGCGCCGCTACTCCTTTAACATACTTTAACAAAGCGCTGCTACAAGATTGCTTAGGGATGCTCGGCCTGATTTAAATAATTTTCAAATTTTTTTCTAAAATAAGGCTACAAATTACTCAAATCCAAAACATTTATTAATTTATAATTCTATTTATTTTAAGTAGTAGAAAATGATACAGAGCAAATTATTATTTGCTCTTTTTTGTAGAATCCTTAAATGTTCAACAGATTAAAGTATCATGTCTGTAATTATAGAAAAGCACTCTGATACCAAAAAATGCATTAGACTAGAATTACAAAACTTATCAACAAACTTGGCTCAAATTCCTAGAACCAGCATCTGAATAGTTAGTGAAATGCAGCGAACAGCTGTTTCTATGTAAATTACACCTCGAAATACCATAAACCGACCATAAAATTAATCTTGCCACTCCCTATAAATTTACACATCCTCCAGCTTATCGATATTAGTTTCGGTTAAATACAGTCATTGTAAACCTGCTTTTAGGCTTTATCTCTAATAGACACATTTGTATGGCTATAATTTCGATTTGACATACATAACTTGAAAAGCGTCTTTAAAATTTAATCTTTAGATTGAACCGGTAACGATTTATAAAGCCTTAATTAATTGTCTTCGTTACTTTTTTATGGACTTCGTCCTAATTTAAATTGTTTTTGCTGAAGGAATTAAATTTCTTTGAAAAAGCTTTCTGTTATTATTTGCGATATGTGAGCCCAATACCGATATCGGATTCAGAGACTTGTCTCTGATCGAATTGGTGCAAGTACTAGGGAATATAATGAAGAGGAAAAGTGGAACATCTGCTTTTGGTCATGGTCGGTTTGCGCAGACCGTTGGAAATGAATGTTCATACGGGAACTTTTGTCCCGTTTAGGGTTTGTTTTATGTTTGGAAATTAGGGGTGTCCGCACTTCAAGAAGGTGCAGACAAGAGAGGAAGCAATGAAGAACAAGACAAGCAGGGTTGTGAAAGTCTCTATGAACCAGTTACTCAGTTTACAATGTTTCAATCAAAGATTTCCATCGATTCTTAGAATCAATTGCAGATCAATTTGAATGAACATGTAACTTAACAATATATCATTGAATAGGCCTGACCTTTGCAGCATGAATGTCTTAACTGAGCAAGTTCGCAAATTAAAATGCATATTAAATATGACAGCACAGTATGATTTGATTTAATAATGTTATTGAACTGGAGGCGCCGCAAACCTCTGAAACTTGCGTACATGTCAACGTGCTTGATTAATTATTGTTGTATGGTAAATAAATTACATATGTAAAATTATTACTATTATAAAATTAGCCCAAAGAAATCATTATTAATTTGCCCCAGCCGTGCACAGAGCGAGTAGTGATTAATTATTATGAAATATATTGCAGATGGTTAATTAAGTTCATCTAACAGATTTTAGTTGAATGTGGCAGAACTTTCTTTTTTTTATGTAAAGTCTTCAACTCGTCCCAAATTAATTCTCGACTAAACAGGAAAATATCCTGAACAGCACCACTTGCTTCTGGCCGTTTATCTGAACAAGTCACGGGCGTGTTCGATATTTTTCTGATCCCCAAAGCGTAAAGAACAAACCCAGCTAAAACCATTAAGTATTCCGAAACAAGGAAGTGGGGTTGGAGATTTTTGCCACTAAATCCTGTTTAACTTCATCGTGGCACTAGACAGAATAAAACCAAGACTTTTGTTAAAGGCGACATGCCTTGGATGGGTTTAATGTTACATGCGACCAGTCACAATAGATATGCTTTATGTGCTGCTCAGGTAATTGCCATTTAATGTTGGATTTATGCCTCTTCAAGCTGCGTTAGTTTGCAAACTTAACGTGCTGATAAAAGTCTTCAAACCTTTATAAAAATTTGATTACTTCACTTTAGCCATAACAGCAACCCGAAAGCATGCAAAATCTAAAATATTCAGGAAAACCAGCAGTCTGAATAAAGAAACACTGAAGTAAGGTTCTAAGACTGTTCAGGAATCCCCATAAACTACCGTGTTTACTGCTTCAAAGACAAATGCTCGGCCTTGTTTGGATGAGGCACTGCTGGAAGATGAATTATTTAACAGCCACTCTTTGCAACTACATAAAGATGCTTAAATGGATTGAGACAAAACTGAAGTAGGAAATAAGAAATCCTACTTTAGTCGGAACATATTGGATTTAAGTGTTCTCGTATAAATTACTTTCTTGTAATTTAATGCCCGCAATAGTACGGAAAAAGTCAAGCAGTTGCTGCAATAGATTCGCTCTCGGGTTTCAAGTGGTGAGCAAATAACATATAAAAATGGAATAATTGATTGTGAAACGTGAAGCAGCATCTTTGGCAAAATTACTATATCATGTTGGCAAGGTATTAGTGCCGCCAAGCTAATCTAGAAACATATTATTCAAGAGATAATGAAGTTGAAAGCAACACGTGCAAAAAGTTCGCATTTTGCACGATAATGTTCACCTGGGGGCTTGCAATGATTTATAGTTTGTTTATTTGCTCCAGGATGGGCAAAACTAAGCGAGAAACATATCGTATATCTCAGCTATTCAATGCGGGATTTACCTATATAATTTATCATTAAGATAATTCTTTTAATATTTCAAAGTTTTTTCCCTTTCACTCGGTGACTATATTTTTGTTTGCCCTATCAGAATTAATTATATTCTATGTGTAATTGTAATGTTTAAGTTAAGTCGATCTCCTTAAGGACTTATTTAGCACTATTTTCTCAAGTTTTTATTTGCCCCGACGTGTAAAAGCATTCTAAAGTGCAGTTTGCCAGTAGATTGAATGAAATTCCGTTTAAAGAATAAAACTATAAGAATTTGAAAATAAAAAGGATATTTTTGTTACGTTTTAAAGAAATTATCAATTTTGCTAGCAGACAAAATAGGATGTTCTCTATCAACCAACGTAGCCAGCAATCAGCCCTATTTTCTATGTTCTATTTCATTAATTGAATCAACACAATTTCCTAATGTTTTTACAATTTTATCGGACAAATTGCTTTTTTGAAAAACTTGCTTTGAACTCAATGTTGAAAGCAAGCGCGGGAACAAAAATAACAGAACATGTTTGGTTGAAAATCTGTGGAAACAGAATAATCAAAATAGCGAAAAAATGGGAACGGCAAACTGGGAAATATTGTGTCTAATTGGGTTAAAAGAAATAATGACTATACAATCTAAAGAGTTTCATAGAATATAAATCTGCATAAGCCTGGAAGTGGTAAAAATTGTTCATCTCTACAATATTAGAAGTGAATTAAATCGACACGAATTAAAATCCTCAATTAAAGCCAATATACAAAGAACTCAATTGAAACTATAACAATAAACTACGCTTTTACCTTTGTATGACTGTATTATAAGAAACACTGTTTTTGCGAAATTCGTAGTAACAAGCTGGAGATCAATGGATGCTAATGTGAAAAAACAGAGTAATTCAATATCATTAAATCACGAGGAAAAACACTTGGAAAATGTCTCTTATATTGGGCATAAAATTAAAACTTGGCAGGAAACACTGTGTTTTGAGACACTGGAGAATATCTTAATCAATACTCTGCATGCATCTAAATGCCATTCCGGATTCTTAAAACATCTGTTGATTTTCAGAGCAAAGAACAGTATCGACGAATCAAAATAATACCAAAACACTCAAGCAGGTTTTACTAAAAAAAGACAAAAAATGTTTTGTTGACAAAACATTTTTTGTCTTAAAATCGCACTAAAAAATCTAATAATCGACTGCATGAATGTTTGTTGCCAATCTTCTGATTTATAATGTTGTAAGCCTTTCTTTGAACTGTGAGAAAAATAGTATGATTTCGGAAGTATTGATTCATACAGCTTTCATATACTGGAAAAATAAAAAAATCCTGTTGGTCAATCGATTTTCCACACCGAAGGAAATTTAATATGACGTTATTTAAAAAGGAACTTTAATTTTTCTGGACTGGAAATTAAAAAAAAAATGCAATGAGCTTTTCACAGTTTTTAAGGAAAATTATTTTCTATCAATCAGCGCAAACTATCTCCGATAATTATTGACGTTTTTCAGTCATAAACAAACAAAACTCTGTGGGGTAAAGCAAAGCGCATTAAGAACTTTTTTTGTAAATTCGAGTCAATTTTTACTAAAAAATAACCATTTGAAAATCCTAAATAACATCAATTTCGTCGAATATTCAAATCCGGGTACTCGGTTCTTCGGTAATACAAATTTTGAAACTTGGATTTTGGAATCAATAAATTGTT